GGGACATTTTTCACCAACCCAAAGAAGGATTGAACTAGCAGCAAAAATGGTGGTTTCTCACCAACGGCCATGGAAATATAAGCAGCAACAAACATGGATATATGCCATTAAGGAAAAAGGCGAAGGGCTGTGAAACGAACCATTTTATCCAAATGCAAGTAGGCAAATAAACCATACATGGAACAAACATTTGTATTTTTCAGAGTTCGACAAATCAGAAACCTGCAAGTACAGAGGAAACATCATCTTGTTCACATCCTGGTTTCACACCCCAATTCACCATTCCCAGATCATTTGCATCCAAATAACACCAACCCCGGCCGAGCCGAGTTACCATGATCAGCTTGCCGCCACTCTTGAGTGCCTACTGGGGTAATCCACCGGCCCCGAGACTTCCAAAGACCCAACAAGTAACTATACGTTTTGTCCGCCCCTACTTGACAAACCCAAGTCCTGGGTATATCATACCGCCAAGTAACAATGGCCCAGTGGGGGTTGGAAGACACTACCCTCTAAAAGCTGTCTCTTGGATCAATCACTCTGCTGCAATACTGTATATAATTTTCAAGGTCTATGTTGCGATAGTTTTGGCAAATGGTGTATAGTCTATATTAGGAAATCCCACATATTAAATGTCAACACCAACATAAATCAGGTTTTACTGTGAATGGTGTATAGGTTTTCTAAGTCATTGGGGTACCCCAAATCATCCGCTTGAAATTCGGATTTTCCACAAACCATCCAGCTCTTTGGGTACCTGCCATTTCGAATCCCCTTTTTTCTGGATTCCCTGAGATGACTGATCAAAAACCATGAAAAATGACTCACATTTGATGCTGTGTCCATTATCCCTCGAAAGAAAGCCCTGTTGATGGTAAAACCCCGGTGAATTCCTCGACGCGCAAGGATCGACGGTTCCATCCTACCATTCCCAGCACGCCTCGAAGATTTTCGACCTGACGCGCACCGGAGCCACGGGGACAAAGCTAGGCGCTCGGCGATGTTTAAGGTAGCCCACGGGTAACAATCATACCAATTTGGGGGGGTCCTGAAATAGGCCTATACCGTGCTAAATCATCCAAAATTAGGCAATTTTAGTATTGAAGAAAGCCATGACTTTGGGGATCCCCCATTTTAGGAACCCCCCACTTGGGAAAATAGATTGATGTATAGTCAATGATAGAATGTGCGATTCTCAAACATATTTCAATTTTAGTGAGGACTTTTTTCCCATGTTCTATCTACTCCACACTCCAGGAAGACTATACACTATACATAATCATAAGGCATATATATAGTAACAGTGGCAACCTAAACCCAACACGGTTGAACATGATATTGGCATGCTTTCCTAAATCCAAAACATAATTTACGGAGAAGTCAGCCAGTGAAGGTTGCCAGAATTCGCGGAAGTCGGTAAAGAATCATAAAGATTGATATTTATACACAGTGCAACCAACAAACATCTGGGCATATTGGCGTAGATACTGTTCTGTACAGAATTGTACAGATTGCTTTTTTAGTTCATGGGATCCAGTTGTCCATTACACTGTGAAGGAAAGAAGGCCAACCAAAACAGGCCAAGTGCCCGATGCAAATGAGCCCCGCTTTCCTTCCCATCTCGAGCAAATCTGCTGATGTTCAACTGGCAGGGGCTCATTGTTGCACCCTCTGGTAAAGAAACATGAGTGGAAGTTTCCCTTTTTTCAAGTGATTTGAACACTAGAAACCCACATGGTATGGGTATTTTACACTTATCAATGTTGGGCCCCTGCCAAATGTAAATAGTGTAACTAACAACTATCCATAAGTTTCGGAGAACTAAGAATGGATTGTACTTAACGAAAGATTGTATATACAGCAACCTCATTTGGCAGTTGCAGTGCTGGCTTTAGGTGGAGTGTTACCGTTTGTTTTGGCTTCAAAAATTGTTTGGGCCCTGTGGAAACTGTCGATATCTGAAACTGACCATGCTCCGTTCTCGGGGTCACCCCTCTGGTTCTCAGCACCTCTCCGTATGCTGGTTCACAATGCAGATCCAATCGCCAGGAGATAATTGATCTGCCGCTATTCCTGGGGCAGGACTGACAAAGCTATATGGAGGGTTCCTTAAATGCGGGTACCCCAGCTGGATGGTTTTGAATGAAACATCCAAAAAAAATGGATGATTTAGGGGTACCCCCATGGATTGGAAACCTCCGTATTGAAACGTGTTGGAAATGCACAACTAATCTCATGCATTTCCAAGTGTGAATCTTGTACTACACTCCCTTTCCCCCTGTTTCAAAATTGTTTTCAAGGACTGCAACCAACAGCAATTGAACACTTGCGACAGGGTTCCTGCTCACTCCTCAGATACCTGTTCAAAAATTGTTAACTAAGACGAAAAAAACATCAATGTCCCGTTCTTCTATAGCTACAATTATTTACCTACGATAGGTTGGAGCAACAAAAGACCACAACTCGTTAGTAGCTTCTCCGACCCTGGACCAGTGAAACAGATCGGTGCCCTCTCAGAAAGTGGTTTGGCAAACGTTGTGCGATGGCGAATGAACCATCCTATGCTTCTCCGGCCCTCTTGTTATGCAGAAAAAACATACAACAACTGAAACCTGCAAACAGCAAACATCCTCTAAAACCATCAAAACATCGTGGCCCACATTCCGTATATGTTGGGTTTCAAACACTGCAGACCCATTTTTCTTCAGACTTGCTTGAGATGACATGGGATGCCACAGCAGTTGGGTCGAACCACCAAAAACGACTAAAACCTATGGATCCGATGTGTGTTTTTAACCCGTAAGAACTAACAGTCTGCGAACTGGACAATCATCAGTTACCAGTTATACCACTTGTTTTGCCTAAATCATCGAAGTAAAATGGCCATGGCTTCCAGTCCGCAAACCAGACAGGGCATCTCTGGCCAAGCTTCGAAGCTTGTTGGCCATTCGTTTATTCTTCTCGGCACAGCGACCTCCATCATGTACCTGACATCACCGAAATTGGGACTCAAGCATCATAAAACATCATGGCTGGTTGGTGGTGCAATAACCATCTTGAAAAATATGAGCTCGTCAATAGGAAGGATGACATCCCATATACTGTGGAAAATAAAGAAAATGTTCCAAACCACCAACCAGATGATGTCCCATGATATCTGGCCCGATTGAATCTTCAGGATACAGTATATATAGGTCATAGGCAAAACCGGGATATTGCTGTTTAAGGTTCTAAAATGCAAGAATGATACTTAATCAGACCCAATCATCGCACATCGAAATCTTCATTTCCTGGGCTACCATGACGTCCAGTGAAGTTAAGCATGAGTCGTTGTTCTCTTTTTTTGCAAAAAATGGGGTATATCAAAACATTCGGGCTGATTTTGGGCCATGTCAAACCTTAAGGTTAAAATGGCAAGTCGCAATGATAGGTTCACGATACAATGTATATAGAATAATAATATATATATATATATGTAAACAGAATCAAGCACAATATACCAATAAACCGTATCGTACATCTACAACACATGCCGTTTTCACTCCTTGTAACCACAAATTAAATGCACATATTGTCGACCTATGATGCACATGTACGTATAAAAATGGCATGTATGCGTCTTTACCCATATGCTCCTGTATGCAATATCTACCAACATTAATCCAAGAAAGGACCACTATATTAAATATTCCATACATGAAGCATATATAATATTATGAAAAAGTCAATAGATATGTGGCGTATATAATGTGTATACCCTATGTCCAGTCAAGTCCCTTTTGCAGCGTTTTGCTGCCATGCTTCCAGCGCTTCGTTCATATCATGTGAAGGAGTTCAGTTTTTTAGGGTTTGAGGTGTGCCGGTGGAGGGTTAGAGGAAAAACAAAACTTCAATCACGTACTATACCCATGTATTTAATCTGTGTCAACGTGAGGAATCTGAACATCCAAACCATGCAGGGAAAATTAGGAACCTAAAGATATGGCTGTTCAGTGTATTGGCTTTGACATGTAGTGAACCCCAGTCAGCCTTGGCGCTCAATATCAAAAACAAGAAAGTGGACGCATTCGCCTAAGTCGTTTTACAGATTGCCCGACAGCCGACAACGGAAACACAAGTTGAAAAGACTTTGAAAGGTTTTTGCAGTGGCAACATTGCAAGACAAACTAGACCATGTTGGGCCAAGGTGGGATCCTGGCAGACTCGCCTTTCGCCAACCTTTCACGAACCTTCCGCGAACCTTTCGCAGATTTCTTGCCTATAAAAATATATGATTTTTCAAAACTCATGTTTCATGAGAGGATGGGCAGGTGTTTCAGTTCCAATACTAAAACTTTGAGAAAACTCCCAAAATTATTGTTCAATGGTTGTATGCATGTAACTGTAACTGCCAAGCATGAATACTATATCACATACATCTAGTCTATATAATGAGTGTATTCAGACCTTTCGCGAACCTTTCGCCGCCCTTTCGCGGTCTTTCGCCACTGCAGCAAAAACACACATCCATATCTGCAGATGTCACTCGGATACTAAAAGTCTTGCATGGGTTTTAGAACGACTCCCATGATGTGTGGTAATGCAATGAAGACTGACTCCATACCGAATTTTCATGCAAATTTTGCATCTTTACTCCTGGCTTGGCTGTAGGTTTGTGACACCCAATCAACATGTGACATTGAAACTAAATTGTGTAGGTTAAAACTCAGTCATAAATTCCATGTATCCACTGTACATATAGTTTGAAATCCAATATATCCGCAGCTTTTTGCAATTTGCATCACCATTTCAGATCAAGAAAAACTCATGTTTGGTAGTTTACATTCGTTTTACGCGGGTCAAACACAATTCTAGACGCTTAGATATCAAATATTATAAAACATGTTTGTTTGAATAAACTAATTTTCATTTTCTTGTAGTTAAATCTTGTTTTTTTGGGATACAGTGGATAGAGTCAAAATCCATTAAAACAAACATGCTGTTTCCTTCAATGGTGTTTTACATGTGCTAAAACATGTTAAAACTCAGCCACGTCTCCATGTGTTTTTTTAACTTTGGCCTTCAACCACCATTTTTGTTGATTACCCTCTGGTAATTTAACATAGCTATTGAAAATGGCCATTTATAGTGGATTTTCCCATAAAAAATGGTGATTTTCCATGGCTATGTTAAATTACCAGAGGGTAAATCACACATGTTTGCAGGTGAAATCACAATTTTTGCTACTGAAATCCAGGCGTTTTCAACCGGTCCAGCGGTGCCGGGGCCCGGCAGGGTCCCATGGGTGTCGGAGGACCTCCTCCACCAGCAGCGCGTCGACCTCCTCCGCTTGGTGCAGCCGGAGGCCAAGGAGGTGACTGGCGGTGACTGGCGAGGAATTTCTGGTGGTTTCATGGAGGATGTCATGGTGATTCCAATAGGATTTCATGGTGATTCTCATGGGATGTTAATGGGATTTTAATGACGATGTTAGTGGGATTTTAATGAAGATTTAATGGGATTTATATCATGGTGATTTAAACTTGAATGGGCATTTCATGGGATGTTAATGGAATATAAATATAACCATAGAATTGTGGGATTCTAATGGGAGGTTAATGAAATTAAACCCCATTAGAATCACCATTAAATCCCTCATTAGAAGGATCGGCCAATGATCTGCAACCCGTCTTACCCATCCAGGTGCCCGAAGCCCGTAGCGTTGAATAGGATAACCATGCCATGGTGCATCTCTGGATATCCCTACTTCAAGACTTCAAGACATGTAAATTAACCTTTGCAAACGTGGTGGTTTAAGGCGATTTTACCAGCAAAAAGTTAGTTGTTTTTTTTTCAATGGCATATGAATGGGATATGGGTTTTACCGCATATGTTTGTTGGATATTACCATCCGGTATTCAAACAGGGTAATGCAGAATCCACCATGGATGATTCTCCCATTAAAACATATCAAAGCCTCCGTTGATCAGGGATTTTCTTCCACGTTTGGATGCCAGAGGGTACCTTATATGAAGGAATATTCTTGGGATTTACCCTCTGGTTATTTAACATTATTTAACATAGCCATGGAAAATGACCCATTTATAGATGATGTACCTATTATATAAAAGTGATGGTTTTCCATGGCTATGTTAAATAACCAAAGAGAAAATGTGATATAAATTGGATATAAGCTAAAACCAACTATTCAGAATGGCCCAGAACGGTGCCTCAATGAGTTGATATCAGATTAGGGTGTTAACTCCCCCCATGGGTGCGAGGTGGTGCCCCAGTGAGCTAAATCGCTAAGTTGGGATCTACATAACTCTAATAATTAGGGTTTATGGTAGATATATCTATAGTTACCATGGTTTATACACCAACTTTAACTGTTACCATCACGGGTGGCTAATATCACCAGTATTAGTGGTTAATACGTCCAGCTGCAACAAAACAAACACTCAAACATCTGGCCCTTCAAGTGCGCCAGGGAGGCATGGACAAATGGGTCAATATATCATCACCCCCGAAATAATGATAAAATCATGTTGTTCATTGGTTATATAATAGCCGATTACATCTCACTATTATATCTTAAATATAATAATATATATATATACATATACATATGTATGTGACTTGTGTGAAAGCCAGGCCAGTTCACATGTGCTTGAGGTCATTCCCTCATGGAACCAGGGGTTTCTTCCAGAAACCAGTTGTTGCCGCAGCCTCTGGGCTGGAGGGAGGGATTAGCTTGAGCAATAGCGCTATCAGTGACGCTTAGCGGATACAGCTGTGGCCAGCTGTGGGTGCGTTGGACTGATTGCAGGTCGTGGCTTCGCATTGGGCAAAACAGGAGTTTGCATTGCTGGACAGGGTTCCAACTGGGATTAGGATTGGAAGTGAACAAGCTACCAGTGTCAATCTGACATTGGTAGCGGAGCTACCTGGCGATCAGGCGCCACAGAATTCATGACTGAATCATCTGGAGGACAGGCTGGAACTGATGGGGGTGGAACCATCTCGAATCAGCTTGCGCTGTTAGTGCCTTCGTTTGATCCTGCAAGTGACAATGTGGACATTTGGTCCAGCAAGGTTCACCTACTGCTTGAAGCATGGCCCCAGACCAAAATCCTGGAGCTCATCACCCGACTGATCCTCAACACAAAGGGATCAGCCTACCAGAAGCTTCATTTGCATCAAAAGGACCTCTTGGTGAATGACCGTAAAGGGGTTCAGAAACTGGTGGAATTGGTTGGGGGCACCTGGGGACAGATTCCCCTTGAGCATCGTTTTGAGTTGGTGGAAAAGGCCTTGTATCGATGTCAGCAGAAGCCTGACGAGACAGGTGACAGTTTCATCGCCCGTGTTGATGTGGTTTGGACTGAGCTTTTGACCAAGGACGTTGACATGGATCAGATTCGATCGTATGTTTTGCTTCGTGGCAGCCGCCTTTCAGCTGAAGACAAAAAGCGCGTGTTGGTGGAGTCCGGAGCTGAACAAATTGGACAGAAACTGGAATGGAAGAAGGTCGTAGCAGCCATACGCATGTTAGGTTCATCTTTCTTTCAAGACTACACGGGTGCCAAACGAGAAAAGAACATGAAAACCTATGACCATTTGGCCTTCAATGTTGATGAAGTAGAAGAGGATGAAGAACATGACACGTATTGGACTGCTGATGATCCACTGGATGATGAAACCTTAGCACAGTTAGCCAATGACAATGATGAAGATGCTGCTATGGTGGTACAGTTTGAGGACGCAGTGACAGAAGCAGTGCAGAGTGATGCAGACCTAGCTGCCTATTTTTCCTCATATCAGGAGGCACGTCGCCGCCTGACAGAACGTGCCAAATTCAGAGGATTTTGGCCCGTGAGAAAAGGAGGGAAAAGTGGGGGCAAGAAAGGCTTTGGAAAAGGAGGCGGAAAAGGAAAGTCACTAGCACAGAGGATAGCTAATTCTACGTGCAGACTGTGCGGGAAAAAGGGTCATTGGAAGGCCGAATGTAGCCTTCGTCAATCAGCCTCGTCCACTGGCCCTCCAAGTGATGGATCAACAGTTCCGATTTCCATGGCGGTCGTCGACGATGTGCCAGCAGAGATCCCGCCCGAGATCTCCCATTTGCCTGAGATGAGATTTCCCGAGCCTTTGCCAGATTGTGCAGCCGCATGTTTTGGGGTAATCACGGGAAATAAACTTGGGAATAATTGGAATAATGATAAGGGTAAGAAATGGGGATTTAAATCACATGTTATGTCACGCATCCGAATGGCCCTCAGGAATGAACTGAGCATTCGTGCCAACCACCGTGATGCTGCGCAGCCAAAGTCTCATGATGTAAAGTGTCCCTCGACGTCTCACATGCATGATCCGAAAGATCACCCGGCATCCAGTGTGATTTCACATGACATACTCTTTGCGTCATCAGGTACCCATGGCATTGTTGATTTAGGTGCTTCACAGACAGTGATTGGAAGCCATCAGGTGACAGAACTTTTGCAGGGTCTTCCCGAACAGATCCGAAAGCAAGCACACCGTGCACCATGCCACTTAGTGTTTCGATTTGGTAATCATCAGACGCTGACGAGCCAACATGCACTTGTGCTCCCGATCCAAAAGGGATGGTTCCGAATTGCAGTGGTTCCAGGTCCAACACCTTTTTTACTGCAAGTGCGTTTTTGAAACAGATTCAAGCTGTGATTGACACTGAAGAGGGAACCATGTGGAGTAAGGCCTTACGAAAGTTTCTCACTCTTGAAAGATCTCCAAAGAATCTGTTCTTAATGAATTTGAATCAACTTTGGGATGATAGTTTTTCTGGTGAATCAGGTGAGGCCTCTTGCATGGCTCAGACTGAAACTGACCGTGGTGCCAAAATGACAGTCAAACAGCCGCAGGGAAGCCTTAGGGGTAGTGAGCTCAACTTGACAGACCAATCATCTCCGCTTGAAAGTTCAGTCAGTTGCCATGAAACAGTTTTGAGAACCCACTTGCCGGTGAGCCCGTCACCATCATGTTCGACTGACTCAGCAGCGTGTGGTCCAAAGATCAACGCAGAACGTGACTCAACACCGGGGGGTAACATGACGTCCCTGGCTTTGCAGCTCAAGGAGTACAACAAGTCGCAGAAGAAGCAGATCTCTCGAGAGGTCGTGAGTGCCATGACTCTGGAAGAGTTAGCCAGCGAGAAGATCACCTTCGGAGAGTCAAAGAAGGGTATGACCTATGCTCAGGCGTTCGAGGACGCACAATGGACCGAGTTCATTTTGAACAGGTTCGAGATGAGCGACAAACCAGAGCACATGATGTTTGTGCAGTATGTCCGTCTGCGCCTGAAGGATGTCCAGGTGAAGGCCAAAACCAGCAACCAGAGCCCCAAGCCGAAAGAGAACAAGAGCATGCCTCCCGTTCCACAGGAGGTTTGGGAAGATGTCATGCCCACGGACGGCTCGACCTGATGCACCTGCCCTTCATTCAGGAGGAGATGCAAGATCTACGACAGAGCAACCAGCATCTGTCCAATCGAATGGGACAAGTCGAGATGATGATGCACGAGATGCTGGAGCACATGAAGAAGATGCAGGTGAAATCCGAGAACTGAGAGTTCTGAGTGCAACTGAGGCTGATCTGATCCGGCATGGTATGTTTGCAGAAGAGATGCATTTGAACATGACCCTGGACACAGACTTTGACTTCACACATGATGTTTCCAACAACAGTTATCACCGACGAATCCAACGTATGGTAAAACAATTTCAATCTGAACTTGACCAAGTGATTCAACAAAATCAGAAGAACAAGTTTCGACTTCCTCAACTTGATTTGTTTGAAGTCATGTGTTCCAGTGACAGTGAACTCACAAAGCAAATGTCGTCCATTGGTGGTCGCTCCAAAAGATTCGGATTGGCAGAAGGTGACCTCCAAACAGCTGCAGGACGCCGAAGAATGTTTCAAGTGTTGACCACCCAGAATCCCAAGAATCTGTGGTACAGCCCTGAATGTGGACCCTGGGTGCGTGGACACGGTTCTGTGTGGAAACCGCCTATAGGTCTTATGGGGCGGAATAAATCACTCCATGGGTTGCATGACATTCTTCAGAAACGTCTTGCAAGCCTCTGGCAGATCAGCTTAGCCATTGTTCTGTATCGATTTCAGGTGCAGAGATCGCTGCATTTTCACTTAGAACAGCCGGATGGTTCCAAGATGTTGCAGCTCCAACCACTAAGTGAAATTGGTGAACACACAAGGCTTTGCCGCTTTGACCTCTGCCGCATGAGCAACTTGACCGATCCAGAATCAGCCATGCCCATCCGAAAGCGTTTGAACGTAGCAACAACGTCAGATCCGTTGGCCCGAGCCATCCATGGAAAGCTGT